ACAAACGCGGAATACAAAAGGGAATCTGTCAAAAACGGTATCCACTCGAATGTCAGATGATAGCCCGTCTTTCGGGGGCGCGGTTATCAAAACAGAACGGTTCATAGAGAGGCTAGATTTTAATAAGGTGCCCACTACCGCCTTTGTTAGTGATGACGTGGCAACTTTGTACAATAGCTTGCGCAACTTATCGACTAAATCGATATCGGTTTACGAGGCGTTACGGCCGGCTCTGGCTACTGACCACATTTTGATTAATTGCATTCTTTCGGCCTCGAGTCCTACGGATATTGACTGGCGCCGATTAATTAGCGAAACCGATGACGTGTGAGTTTGAAATATAATGGAGTGTGAAAATATTTTGAGAGAATGTAAAACACCTTTATAGTTATTAGTTTTGGTTATCTTAAATTGGTTATTATATATATTACGATCTGAATTTCGATTTTTTAAAGCCCTCCAAATTTTCAGTCTCAGTTTTTAATTTTGATAACATCCGTATTAAGTTGTTGAGTGAGCGATGAATTCTTATATCTTTATCGTTTAGGCTAATAAAAGTCACGGCTTCAGCTCTAAAGCAGTAAACAAGCATTTTTTTTCAAGAATTTCTTGACATTTACTAAAAAGGTCCCACCTTGTTTGCCGACATTGTATTGTTGAGATAAATCAAATCGATCTCCACATAGCTTCCAATAAACCGATACTTTTATTAATTTGTTACAGTATTAAATTGGTTCTCCGCAGTGCATCGGTCGTTCCAACACTGTTGCTCTTTTAAGTTTCACGGGTCCCTCCGTTTCAATGTTTTTATGAAAGATTTAGAACAACGTTGATGAGATTTTGTCTGAAATCGTTTTGTTTTGGTACTGAAAGATTCCTTTGTAAATTTAAAAAAGAGTTCAAAGATATTCAGGCAGTATTTTATAATTAAAATATGCAAAATGTTAACCTAACAAAGTTTAAGAAAATATTTGGAATCAATTAGCCTAAATAAATAATAATAAAGGCAGACGACATGCTACCAAGTTTTGTACAGGAATTTGTTTTGAACTGAAGATTTTTTTTTAAAGTTTAAATTTGCGAATGACCTATTTACTTTTAAACTGAGAATTTTGTTGTAAATCACCAAAAAGGTTTGCGCTGCAGGTCGCCAATAATGCGTGTATAAGTTACAATACTAATAACGTACTGTTTGACAAAACATTCGAAAGTAACAAACTGGCCGCGCAAAATGTTTTCCAGAACTTATAGCAGACCTTTTGTTATCTTACCCATTCACTACTAATTGAAATGGGTTGGAAAGCGGGTGCGCAGAGTAGGCGTTTAGCGCTGCCACGTTGGCCCCCTGCTGCTCTGGGCACCTTTTTACTCTTCTACACCGCGGGTGCCGCCTGATTGCCTCCGATCTCATCGTTTTATGTTCCCCATAAAGCCAACAATAATTCATTTAGACGACGTGACGCCACTCATTCGTTAACTGGTTCGGAGCAAGACGTGATTCTAACGCAGTTCCGGTGAGAACAGAAAACAGGGAGGGAGTGTGACGTTAACTACTTGAGTGTTGCGAAAACATAGTTTAACATTAGCTTTTTGTTGACAGTATGTTTTTTTAAGGATAATATTAATATAACGTAAACTATGTAGTGTCAATTAGGACTTAACAAACAAAAGTTTAGAAGATGACTTAAAAAAAATTCAAGAATGTCTAAAATTCTCTCATATTTTCGAACTAAAAGCTTTTCACAACATGTGTATATTATAATATCATAAAATCTGAAATGTCAATTAAAAATAATTAGCTTAACAAACATATTGCACCCTAAATTTCAATCGAATAAAACTAAAGCACCGCATTGGTTGAAACAAATAATCGGTGCGACAAACCAATTCTAACGAAGAACCGGTCCGTGTGAAACAAACAAACAAATTCATTCCGAACCATTAGGCACGAGATCTGACTGTTAATGTCTCAATTTAGAAAAGAGCGTAAATCTTCAAAGGCGTGACAATTACTGTTACTTCCCGGGTAATACAAACAAAAAGGTTCTCCGTCAATTATCGATAAATTAACCAGATTAAACACTCTGTAGCAGACGGCGCCGGATCGTCTTATCTCCGGACATGCCACGCTTTTAGGCAGGTAACAACATGGAGCAGAAACATTAACATTTTATACCAATTTGCCCTTTATTAGGACCAATGGGAAGCAGTTTATCGCTGCATCTAATACGTTTCTATACCTAACTGATAATGAAATGAGGTAAAATAGTCGGCCATGATTGCATTTTATTAATTTCTTCATTAAAATATTGCAGCATTATCATAATTTAAAAAATTGGTCATATAAAACTAGATTTCATTCACAAATACAACCAAAATCTCAGTTTAATGAACACGGAACTGGTAAAGGATTCGAACTATCTGAATTTTTTCAAAAATACAAGCGATAGTTACATGGAAAATAGGCTTTTCTTTGAAATTTTTTTGGGAATTCGGAATATGTCTAATTTCCAACATCTATGATACACATTGAATCTCATGTCCTATTTTGAAATATAAATTATTATGACAATTGGTACACTTTATATACGGAACCGTAAATGCTTTATAAGCTTAAAGCGATCGCAATAGCAGACACTGTAATATAACAAGCTCATTCTATTGAAAACATCTAACCTTTTAATAGAAGCGGAGCCCATTGTGACTAATCATGATTAAACGACTTTAGACAAATTGCATGACCGTGACTAGGCATCTAGGGAGCCGAACTGGATCCCAAATCATTAAAAGAACAATTATAGATATCGCATTCCCACCTGCAACCTGTTGATGGATAATGATCTCTTTCTAAACAAATAATGAAACTAACCATTGATCGCCCTTAATTGCTGGATCGATAATTTAAATGAGGTCGCGAGTAACGATTCTCAATCCTTTCATTTGCTCAATTGCTTTTTTTTTTAATTTTCATTAGTTTTTTTTTTCTTGTTTTGTGCAGATATTTCATATTGTAAAGTTCAAAGTGGAAGTCAGTATAAAAATCGAATCAATTTAAGTGAATTAAAAACACGACGCCGAAGAATTGGGAACCAAAGAAACATTGTCGATCAAATGTCCGATAGTCACTTCTTGTTACTAAACAAAAACCAATTTAACTGTTCTGTTAAAGATCATAGGATTTTTTTGGTCGCCCAAGAGAATAGTATGAACGAACTAGATTAACTAGCGGGGCGACGCGTCGCTGAGCTCCCACAAAACGTTAACAGATTTTCAACGGTTTTATTTCTTTTTAACAAACGCTTCAATATAATTAAAGATCGGATGGTAAGTGATGACTGGTCACCATTAGAAGTATTCTTGCCTTATCAAGTTTTTGACGTTGCGTCTGTAACAGAAGGCTGATCTATCGACGCTGCCTCTCAAAGCGCCGATTATGAAGCAAACAAATTGTGTGGAAGGCACCTTTTTATGCTTTCGACATGATAACAATGAGTGAAGGCCCGCAACTGATCATTACCATTATACTGTATAAGGCTTTGTGTTTTGAGTAAATTATAACAGGTCCGTTTTATTCGATGCGCCAGCGCAGAGCCTCGACAATGAAGGTTCATTATCAACAGTGACCACATTAAAACCATCATAATAAATAATCACGATGTACTAAATACTTTACAGACGTTATTAAAGGTCTCTGTTTAGAAGGTTTCAAATTATTACAGTAGTATTCTGATAAAGTATGTATTGACCAAACGGTTTATTTTGTACTTGTGTATAAATGCACAATTTTGTGTAACAAGCACGGAAAACGTCTTTTTATTACCGTACTTTAAAAGAGCACTCATTAAGCAATTACTTTGAATTATTATTTCTACATATAATTGTTCGCTATAGGCAACACTCAAATGACAGGTTTCAATAATAATGAGTAAGCGGAATGGTTCTATTTTATGTAAATAAGGATAAATATAAACTGAGCTATTATGACATTGCTCAATCTTGATATTTAATTTGATAACTGAATTGATGTAAAAGGTGTTCTTACCTATTAATCTACAGTCATATGCAAGTTACAGGTTCCAATTATATATTATTTAATTATAGCTTATATAGCTATAATTAAATAATATATAATATATAACTTTTTGTGAGAACTTTGAGATTTGAGTACAATATATGAAAAAACTGCAATTCAAACATGAATCGTCAAAATCAGTTGATTTGGGAGGATTTTATCTCATGATTTCTAAATTTTCATTATTATATTTCACGAAATAAATTCAATAATTAGAGGTACCTACGTTATAATACAATCATAATCTCCCTATCGAATTAGTTTTAACCTAATTCCGTCACAGAGAGCAATTCAGAAGCGAGTTCGTAATAACCAGCAAGATTGTTGCGCGCGTTCGCTCAGTAGCTCCACAACGAATTCTACGACAATTACGCTCGGACAGGCTATGATTAAATTATGGCACTTACCCGGAGTGTTTCCTGAAAATTACATGGGATGGCTCTCCAAGGCTGCGCCCGCACGCGATCCTCTGCACGCATTAAAAGTTATAATTGCGCCGATTTCAACGACCAATGACGCATTGGTTTTAACGCGTCAGAGCGCGCATTGCAACTGCCAATGTCCATTTGTTTTTAATTATTAATATTGTGTCGTTTGTTTCTCCTAAGTATGACAGCCATTTGAAATCGAAATAACGTAATTTTTAATACTCCTTTTAATATTTTAAGACTTAGAGATTACATTCATAGAAAAATAAACTTACACACATAAATTCCGATGACTTACTTACTTAGGTTCTAGGTAAAATAGAATTTATTATGAAGTGAATGGAACTCTTTTCATTATTATTTTTTAAAATACCTCGTATATTTTGGGAGTATTCCAAGTTTTTTTTAAACGAACTGGATGTATAGACTGAACTTCAATAAAAAATAATCACAAGTCTTTGTCTTGTGTTCTTCAATAATATGGTTTGTTTTGTTCGCAGGTGTTTGCACTAATGCGACAGCGCCAAGTGTGTCATCAATCAACAGGATACTCAGAAATCGTGCAGCTGAAAGAGCTGCAGCAGAATTCGCTAGGGCAGCTGGTTATGGTTTATATGCTGCTCCCCCACCCTACGGAGCATTCCCATGGGCCGGAGGAGGTGGCGTTTGGCCTCCAGGAACACTCTCCCTTCCCCCTGGAGTACCAGCTCCACCCTCCGGCGTCCCTCACCCAGATGCCGTACAACAAGGATTTCTTTCATCGTCTGGACGTGGACTCATTGGTAATTTTAACGATCTGATTAGTTATTCGAGTCATTAACATTAACATTTAAATATAGTATAAACAAATGTATAATTCATCTAACTTTCCTTGTAAATATTTTTATTAATTTTAACTTTCTTATTGACGGATCAAATTACAAATTGATCACTGATATTTTTTTATGTATTATTAAACAGACGTAGACGGCGACGATTCCGGATCTTTGGATGGCGAACAACCGAAATTCCGACGGAACAGAACTACCTTCAGCCCAGACCAACTTGAAGAATTAGAAAAGGAATTCGAGAAATCTCATTACCCATGCGTTTCTACTCGAGAACGGCTCGCCTCCAAAACATCGCTATCGGAAGCGCGCGTACAGGTAACGACCATAATAAAATCTTAATAATTATGATGTTCATAAACCCACAACCAATTAATAATATTTTATTGATATCACTCGAACGACACGGCTTAATCAAATCAGAGCTATCGTTTTCACACCAATTTACATATATGAATTTGTTAACGCAGTGAGAACAACATACTAATCTCGTTTATTTACCGTTACTGACAGGTTTGGTTTTCCAACAGACGAGCCAAGTGGAGACGCCATCAGCGCATGAACCTCCTGAAACGAGGTGGCGGCTCGCCCCCCCACCGCCTCCCCCACTCCCCTTCCCGTTCCCGTTCTCGTTCTTTGTCCCCCTCGCGCTTCCCTTACCACACCCCTCAGATGGGCGGCGAAAATAGCGCGTTCAAAGCGCTCGCGCACCAAGACACGAACGCCTTAAAGGCACTATCACACCAGCAATTTGGCAGTAACGCACTGAAAGCATTGTCGCAGCAACAGTTTGAAAACGAAGCATTCAAGCATCATCCTGCGTTGGAAAACAGCGCTTTTAAGGCGTTAGTCCCGCATTCAGCGGCCGCAGCGCTTTTAGCAGCACAATCGATACAGTTAGCTCGAGGATACGAATCACACTCGGATACTGATGAAGAGATCAATGTGCACGATGAAAGTGATGATGAAAGTGAGAAACACAAAAACAAAGTGAGACCTCGGACACCGAGCCCGGGCCGACGGCCACCGGCCAATGACTTGCCCCTACAACTCACCAAACACGATCGCTGATATAGTCATCGAATTTATAGTTATGTTTACATAAAAGTATTAACGATCATTCCTATTGAACGTTAGATGTTCCAAATAATTATGTAAATTATGAACCTAGAGTGCTAATACTCCAGTTTGTTTGTAAATTAATGTAAATATGTAGCTAGTTAAGTTGTTAATTAATGCAAGTAAGATGAATGAGTAATAAAATTCATGCACAAAATATACTATTTTATTTATTGGAGAAGATATTTTAACTGTTACGTACAGTCAAATGGAAAATTATTTTGAGGAAAACGTCAAATATATAAACATGAGCACCAAGCTCCCGATTTCATTATTGAAAATGCCTATCGTAAAAGAATTGTAATTTGTGATATAAAACTAAAGTTAAACATCCATTAGTCTGTGCCAGCTTAACACGCGTATGACATGCAAGGTATTGAGCGAATTCGTATTGCGATAATACACGCAATGATACAAACTTATATAAATCGAAATTAAATCCGCCCGTGGCATCGGTGTATTGTGTTATGTTAGGCGCAGACTAGCGATGAAAAAGTTTGAGACATATTCTGTCTTATTACAAAACTAGGACTAAAGTCAGTACTTGGTTTAAACCACCTAAAATAAATGGACAATGATAGTAGAGAAAACGTCAAAGCGAGACATGTTGTGTTACTTGGTTGGGTAATAGTTAATGTTACTCGTTTTATGTTAAGATCAATTGAGACTAAGTATTTTCGTGCACCTGTATTTGAATAGTCGTAGCTCAGTCATAATAAGTACAATTTATGGAAGGAAAATACCAAAGTATTATTATCAATAGATAGCACGGCTTAAGGAAAATTAAAGTTCCTAATACAAATTCATGTTAAAAGGTTATAAACTATAAATCAAAATATTCTGTCTGCAGTTTTAATGTCAAATAAGTAATTAAAATGAGACCGTAAATGTTTACGATAATTGGCACCATAAAGTAGGTTTTATTAAGATGGGCACTAAAGAATCTATGTAGAAGTTTATACATGTGTTGTGTATATATTGTTAAACAGCCTCTGGCACTGTCTATTTATTGCTTGGATAAATATGAGTTTATTGTAAAATAATATAGAAAATGTATGTAAATAAGTATCCCAGAAGTATTAAATTACATAGAAAATTAATAAACTTTTTTATTTACCACCTTTTATTTTTTTAGCACACGTACATCATTTGAGATCATGCATACTTTACTTAGGAAAATCCTGTGATTTTCCTAAGTATTTCCCCAAGATTTAAGTTAGTAGATTTATTATGAAAAAAGTGTATTTGAAAAGTTTACCTGTGTAAACCTAAAACTTAAGTTGACTTGCTCCATGTTTTTTGCAAGCTCCAAAATACTCAACATAACATCTCTATTTACAGAAGCTCTTTTGCTTGTAACGTTAAAAACGAATGTACCCAATAATATTTTTAATGCTGATTTATTGATGTTTTATGTGTATCATCTAAATAATTCATTAATTGTAAAAAAAAAACCACCTTCACAAATAATCTAAAGACGTTAAGAGGCTATATTATGATAGTTGTAATGAATTAACTTTAAAACTGGATTAAAAGTGGATCGATTTTAACAATTATTTTATTAGTATAATTCTTAATTTTAACTGTGTAATATAATCGTCATTGATCATCAATTAATATAAAATATTTTTGTAAAATAAGGAAGTATGTATGTATGTATAAACAGTAAATAAAATCAAAAATCAATAAATTAAAATACACGGGATCCGATTTCGCTAATTTGGTTATGAATATTTGTAGGATTCCAAGAAATGTTTCGAAGAAGGGAAAAATCTGAAGAAATTGCATACGAACAGTCCCTCAGATACTTGTCAGAACTGTGAGTGTTCAGAAATTAGAGTACACGCGTACTGGTGATTTTATGTCACCGTGATATTTTATCTCTTTCGCCATGCTTATTTATCCTTGCGCCTCTGCTCGCCCTTGAGAATGTGACAATTAGGTGACTTCCGTAGATGGCAGAAGCACGGTGACAAAACCAAAAAATCGCAGTGCCATGACGACTGACACATTAACAAAATTTTGAGGTGATATGAAATTCATCCAGTCAGAAAAAAACTAAATATAGTACATCACTATTATATTCACTTATTCAACCTAGTCTAATAATGACAGCGAAATTGGTGAGTTAATTTATTTATGCGTGTAATTGTAATTCCTTTAAGTTATAAATGAGATTTTTAGAAACAGAGTCTTCTTATGACAGTTCTATCTTCCGCATAAAGAGATATAAGTAAATAAATAATGAATAAATATTTATATTTATTTACCTATATCTAATTAAAGTCTGCATGGACATGTAGTGTAAGCCCTTATATTATGGAATATCTGAGACAGCGAAGGTACCACAACACCCAGATAACACAGAAAAAATCATTTTCTACATTGACAGAGAATTGAACAAGGGACCTTAGAAATGGGACAAATAAATATAAAGCTGTTATAAAAAAGATAATTGAAAGTAATTTTAAAGCCGAGATGTAAATATTGACAATTTAAAGATTACGCAATTTGTATTAGAGACTTTGTGAATATTAATAGGCCTATGACTTCAGTCAATCTTTTCTAACAATAAGAAAGAATCATCAAAATTAATTCATAAGTAACGAAGTTGAGAGGTGAAACTACACAAAAATATTTAATGTATAAAATTGTGAACCTCCTCTTTTGAAGTCGGTTAAAAGTCGTATCAGTGGAAATCTTCAGCCCTTCTACTAGTGATAACGAAAACAACTTAAAGGTCTCACGATTAGTCGCGTCGCGTCCCATCGGTCGCGGAACGTCAAAACTGTCAAATTATGTGATATAACATTGGATATTGTAAACTCGGTGGAAACTCCGTCACGTACTGCACATACATCAGTGAGACCCTTGATCGACCTTCCTAACCTAACCAAACCAAAACTGAATTTATCTTCTAAAGTTCTACTACAAAAATTGATACAATGACTGTACAAAAACTACAAATACCATTTAGCTACTTTGGTCTGTTTGCGTGTCAATGAGATATGTTAATTATATCACTATATTGCAAATGCAAACGTGAAAACAACAATTAAGCTAAGAAGATCGTTCTGCAGTTTACTAACAGCAATGGTAGTAATTGTTACATAGCAAACCAATTAAGAATATCGGCAATATCATAGTATTAGTGATTTTTAAAGTCAGTGAGTTATTTTATTGTAGAATTCTTGTACAGAATTTTTATTGTAGAATTCTTGTGCAGTGAATTCTACAATAAAAATAACCTCGAACTGGACTACAAGCGTGCTGTGCTGTCACAGCATGAAGGTTTTATCAAATAAAACCTACTTGAAAAGGTTATAAAGGTTTCATTAAAAGTCTATGCTTTGAGAGTGCTGCGCTCAACTTTGAAGTCGAGGCTGTTTTTTTTTACAGAATAACGTAACTGAACTTAAAGACAAAATCAAAGTTCTATTTATCCTATAGATGCGATCATCAAAATATAAGAACCATAGAAAAATCCAACCAACCTTATGAAATTAAAGCCTAACACGTCTTCGATGGCTCGAATATATCGAACAGATGGGGGAAGATCGGTGTGCCAAGAAAGTATGTTTGGGTCGACGAACGGTCGCCGTCTGGTCGGTCGACCGAAATATTGCTGGCGAGACCAAGTGACATTAGCATTTTCACAAGCCGACCATTGGCAAGAGGTTGCGTAGAGATGTTAGAAGCTAAGACCCACTTTGGGGCTCTGAGCCAAAGGTAAGGAAATGCCATAGATAAGCTAGATTGAGATAAACTAAACTAAAATTAATTCTAAGTTGTTATAAGCATTTGTGTACGACGGGAGATTGTGTACTGAGAAGAACCAGCTAAAAACTAACCCAGGATTACTTTCATCTTCATGTTTTATTTTATACAGAATTGAAAAAAATAAACTTTTTCAATATCAAAACCGACCAAGTGCAAGTTGGACTTATGCATGAAGGGTTCCATACCATCTTATATATATTTTAAGCTTCTACCTGTTTCCGTTATCAATATCAACATAAAACAAGTAAAAAATCACATTTGTTGTATTGGAGTCCCCTTGAATATTCATTTTATTAGATTTTTATTTATTTATTATTATAGCAGCAACACAAATACATAATGTGTAACAATTTCAACTGCCTAACTATCACGTTTCATTAGATACAGATATCTGGTGACAGACGGACAGATAGACAGACGGACATCGCAACCCTTATTCTTAATGAAAAAAGATTAAAAAAACCACTTTGCCCTTGCATTCTTTAGTAAGTATATAACATAGTAAGTATATATCTAAATAAATCATCTATTGAAATGGCTGTAGTACTTTAATTCTGAGCACTTTAAATAATTATTAAATAATTAAATAAGTCAAAGAATAAAAAATATTGGGGTTCCGTAACCAAAGGGTTAAACGGGAACCCTATTACTAAGACTTGGCTGTCCGTCTGCCTGCCTGTCTGTCTGTCCGTCTGTCACCAGGCCCTATCTCAAGAACCGTGAAAGTAAGACAGTAGAAATTTACATAGATAATGTATTTCTGTTGCTGTTTCAAGAACAAATACTAAAAACCAGAAGAAGTGAATATTATCCACTACGCCACCGAGTTACGCAGCAGCGTAAATGCAAATCATAAAATACAATATCAATTCTTCCTCATAAGAACTATTGTTTTAGGTTGAATATTAATTTGCTCTATATTATTCTTTTATTAAATAGGATTGTTTTTTTTGCGTTTTTTTTATAGATTAATAGTACGCAACCCTTTATGCGCCTTCAAAGGCACTATTTATACACACAGGTAAAGTGTTAATTAACCTGCTGTATCATTAAATATCATATTATAGGTAACAATAAAACGTTCCCCATGTTATTTTAAGATATAATGTAATAACTTTTTAATTTTTCCTTTATTACAAACGGATGCCGCATTTATACGGTTAATCCTTTCA